GTCCCCACAGTCTGGATCCTCATTTCACCCACCTCGGAAGGATGGAAGGCTGAGTCAACCTTGAGCCGGTGAGATTAGAACCGCTGAACTGCAGATAACAGTCAGCTAAAGTGGCCTGCAGTACTGCACCCTAACCACTGCGCCACCTTGGCTCTTTAGTGCAAAACACATGAAAACCCACTTAGAGTTTGTTCCTCACAGTTTGAGAGTCCTTCAGGTGCTTTTTTGCAAATTCCAAGTGAGCTGTTATGTGTTTTGCACTAAAGAGCCAAGGTGGCACAGTGGTTAGGGTGCAGTACTGCAGGCCACTTCAGCTGACTGGTATCTGCAGTTCAGCGGTTCTAATCTCACCGGCTCAAGGTTGACTCAGCCTTCCATCCTTCCGAGGTGGGTGAAATGAGGATCCAGACTGTGGGGACGATATGCTAACTCTGTAAACTGCTTAGAGAGGGCTGAAAGCCCTATGAAGCGGTATATAAGTCTAACTGCTAACTAACTAACTAACTACTAACTTATGAATTGCAGCGATTCACTTAACAGCCGAGGCATTAAAGTTGTAAAATGAGGCAAAACTCAATGAACAGACGTTTTCACTTAACAACAGAAATTTGGGGCTAAATTGTGGTCCTAAGTTGAGGACTATCTATATACTATTCCCATGCCAGAGCTGGGTCTGAACTCAGATTGGAAAGGATCAATACAATTCTTTTAATTTAAGAACTTCTGGAGATATAACATATTTGCCCAGGGTTAAGGCACTTGTGCTGGCTTGCTAATACCAGAGAATTGTTGGGAGGTGGGTAAATCTGGTGGGTAAATCTGCTCCCTTTGCAGCACAATTGCCTATGCAATTGTTTTAACATTGTTCTAGAATGAGACCGATCAATTGTCCTACTTATTTCTTGGGTACCACTGGCACCCCTAGGCACAATTCTGTCTCCTCCATGCTTCCCCATTGTGTGACTATTTATTTATTTAAAGCACCATCCACAGGTTTAGTTGCTCAAAGAACAGACAGAATTCTCTAAAACCCAAAACAATTTTTTGAGATAAAACTTACAAATCAGGCTTTATCACCTGGGTAACAAGAAGTACCTTACTGTCAAAATTCCCACAAACAGACCTAGCCGAGGGAGGATGGGTCACAGGTGTGAAGTGCAGACTGGGTCTCAGATATAAATGCACACTATGCACACTATGCAACTTCCAAATGGGCTGTCACAGAAGATGTCCCAGCAGAGAATTTTCTCCTTGAGGGAGCCTTAAATATTTGAGACTGATTTACTCTACACGCAAGTACACCTGAGGCTGAGCATCCCTGAAGAAATCAGACTCTGCCAAAATTTGGGCTCCATCAGGTTTGTCAACATTCTCAGAACAGATGCTGGAGAAATGATTTTGTTCATTCATGAAGTGAGTATCAGAGGGGATATAGTACCTATTTGAAAAACCATGATCTACCAGAATATTCCCTGCCTCCTTCTTATCCCACTTTCTGCAGGAAACTATCTACTTCTCCTCCTGCTTTCTTTTGACCTTTCAAACTTTGCACTGGGTTCCATATCCCCATTATTTTTATCTTCTAAGAATCTACTGGGCTCATTGGG